TTTCTATTCTAGTTTTTGAGCTAGGGCAAAAATACTAAAATAATGAAATTTACATCCCTCTATCAAAAAAGTTAACAAAGATAAAATTCAGTTTGTATTTTTCTGAAATTAAGTAAAGTACATAGAGTCATTTTAGGATGATCATGGCACTCTAGTTAGAAAATTAAAATTTAATTTAAAAACAAAATTTGGACAAAACTTAATTCAAAAGTGGTGCATTGGGACGTGAAACGATCTGTAGAATCCGAAAAACAGAAAATCTACAGGGTGTGCCATTTAAAAATTTAGAGTTCCGGTCATTTCCGGTGAAACCGGAAGTCAACAAAACTTGTCAATAATGCATAAAAATAGCATTTGGTTAGAATATCAACCCTACCAAGTTTCATTGATATCGATAGACAAATAAAAAAATGGCAGCCGGAAAGTGATCTCGTGGGCACCCAGTATATTTTTTTTTAATTAGTATTATATTATTGTATGCATTCGTTTATCAATTATCTATTGTAAAAAATGGGCTTTGCTCGTATATAAATAAATAAATAAATAAATTAGAAAAATATTTTCGTTGTTGCCAAATTTCTGTTAGTTTTGCAAAAACAGGGTTATTTTTGAAAATTTGCAAAAACAATTTTATCAAATATTTAAATATCTATTGATTTTAGAGACATAGTTCAAATTCAAAAGTATTATATTTTTAACATTCAAGATTCAAGATTCAATAAGCTTTAATTATTGTCGAAAAAATACAAATTTTTTATAGACAAAGCACAATAAATTTAGCAGTACAAACAAAAAACAAAATAAAATACAATAATAATAACATAATAAAAAAAAAAATTGCCCAATTAAGGCCACCAATTTTCGTACAGGCTCAGAAACTAATAAATTCAACAAATATTACAACATTTGACATATACATAATTACCTAATTTCCATTAAAATCAATTTGTAAATATCCAAAAACAAACAAGTATCAAAAAAAAAATAATAATACAGATAGTTACATTCAATAAACAAAAAGTTACTGGGGGTTTAATAAAAGCAAACGGCAAAAATCAGCCCTAAATCATAAATAAAGTGGCTCATTAAGTTTTTAGTATGCTAGAAAGTGTCATCATAGTACTCAGCCAAATCATAGTAAGCCTTCTCTTTCAATAAATTCTTAACTGACCTACAAAACCCTCTATAATTTTTAGAAGACCTACAATAATTTGGAAGTTTATTGTAAATCTTAATACTCTCGAAAATTACTGAGTGTCTGGTCAAAGCAAATCTAGGAATTGGGAGTGGAACATCGTTGCGATTTCGAGTACTGTAAGAATGAGCAGGAGTGTGATCCCCATATTTTTTAAATATCAAACGAAACCGTCTCCAATATAAATAAACAAACGACCGTCAAAATCTGCTCTCTCAAAAAGAGCGGTCTACAGTGGTCTCTCATACCTTTGCCGCACATATATCTTATAGCTCTTTTCTGTTTTGTGAAAACCGAATTAAGTAGACCTCTACTGCAGTAGCCCCAAAACGAAATGCCGTATCTCAAGTGTGACTCGATAAGTGCATAGTAGGTAGATTTAGCAATACTGCAACCCAACTCTGGAAAAGTTCTTCGCACAGCATAACAGCCAGACGCCCAGTCTCTTATTCAATGCAACAACATGTATACATCAAACTTTAATCGGTCGTCCACGTAGAGCCCAAGAAACTTTGTACTTTGCACATTCCTAATTATCCCGTCCTCCAATTCAATATCATCAATATCAAATTTAAAGCTCAAAATTTTTGTTTTATGAATATTAAGGCAAAAGTCATTGGCATCACACCAGTTCTTAATTCTAAGTATGTCCCTTATTACTACGTTTTTAAGAAGTGCCTGGTCCTTGCTATGCCATTTCACTGTAGAGTCATCTGCAAAATTCAAAAGTGAGCCATCTATCCTTACGTTTGCTAGGTCGTTGATGTACAACAAGAATAAAAGAGGTCCAAGCACGGAGCCCTGCGGTACCCCACATGATAGTGTTTTTTTACATTCTTCAAAAATGGCAACTTTTTTCTAATTTAAACGCCCTCGTAACTTTAACCGTTCCCGAAATAGGAATCAATGCTGTCACTATGAAATAGTTGGGACCTCGGTTGGGACCCTGTATACACTCACCCCTTTCTGTTAACTCTGCCATGTTTATGTACTGAAAATTTCTAAATTAATACAAAAGTTGGGCTATTTTTTTGTATTTGTGCTGTGCAATAAATTCTCTTTGTTTTCATATTAGGCAGCACAGGTTTGTACAAAAAAAATCCAGATTTACAAATTGCGAAATGATGATTTCTCACTACTTTCTTTCCAATCAAAATACAAAACAATGGTGCAAACCGCATCTTTTTATCTTTTCTAGTTTCGAGCATATTAGCTATTATTGAAATGCTTCAGTTTCAGCTAGGACACCTCGTATATTCAACATAGTATATGTGTTAAAGTTTTTGTTTAATAAAACAACATGAATTGAGGCAAATCTTTAAAAGACGTATTTTTAGTTCAGATTTGCATTTAAAGCCAGAAAATGGTCTTAATTTGTTCTAAATGTTTGCTTTTGAGTTTTTCTAATGAAATATCAACAGAAGAAATTGTCCCAATTGGGTGTACACCTGCATACAGGTATTTTATACCTAGGTGCAACTATACTGGGTGTCTACGAGATTAGTTTCGCGCTGGCATTTGCTGTTTTTTTTTTCAATGGCAAAGATTTTTGGTATAGAGTATAGGTTTGAGAAATGTCATCTTTTGACATACTTATGTGTCAATGTTGGGTAACTTCCGGTTTGACTGGAAATGGCCCTAACTTCGTAATTTCGAATGGCATCCCAAGAAGTTTTTCGCATTTTTGGGATCTGCGGATCATGATGTGTATGAATACGTCAAATTTGAACATTTTTGAAGAAACTTAAGAATTCTGGATCAAAATTTATTTTTGAATAGAAAGTGACAGAATGGTCTTTAAACTGTTTTTTTCAACTCACACGATCGTAGAAAAATGCGAATGCCAAATTGTTATCCTTTGCTTGTTCTCCAAAGGCTTCCAAAGTTAAAAAAATCACATTTTACGCGATAACTCAATGAAATCAGTGAAATCACCCAACTTTCACAACAGATTTTTACCTTTTTCAAAATGAAAGCAACTAAACTTTATTTTTTTCCAAGATAGATTTTGACATTGAAAACTTTGAAACATAAACAATAACGCTTGACCCTGATTGGTCGCAAAATGAGGTGTTTCTGCAGGTTGACATCAGTTTTAAAATAGCGGCCAATAAGTGGCATTAGCGGCATTGTTTATGTTTCAAAGTTGACAATGTCAAAATCTATCTTGGAAAAAAATAAAGTATAAGTATGCATTAATATTTTTCAATTATGCCAGTTTTTAGTTACTTTCTCATTATTTTTATTATACACTAATATAAATGATGAAACTACTTGTAAATAAACCCCTGTATGAAAAAACGCTGTCTAAAAGGAGCTGGTGGTCTTTTTTTACTGGTCAAGCCATTGACAAGATCTATGGACAAGATATGTTTGTTTACATAGACATTTGTCATTTTTTGGCATCTCGGGAATTTATAAATACAAAGTTTGAATACAGGGGCTCATTTATAAGTAGTTTTATCTTATCATTTATAATAGTGCGTAAAAAAAATAATTAAAAACTGGCATAAATGAAAAGTTTCAATGCATAGTTGCATATTATGAAAAAAGTAAAAAACTCTTGTTGTGAAGTTGGGTGATTTCACTAATTTCATTGAGATATCACGTAAAATGTGATATTCACAACTTTGGAAGCTTTTGGAGAACAAGCAAAGGATAACAACATTGCATTCGTATTTTTCTACGATCGTGTCAGTTGAAAAAAACAATTTAAAGAACATTCTGTCACTTCCTATTCAAAAATAAATTTTGATCCAGAATTCTAAAGTTTCTTCAAAAATGTTCAAATTTGACGTTTTTATGCACATCATGATCCGCAGATCCCAAAAATGCGAAAAAATTCTTGGGATGCCATGCGAAATTACGAAGTTAGGGCCATTTCCAGTCAAACCGGAAGTTACCAAACATTGACACATATGTCAAAAGATGACATTTCTCAAACCTATACTCTATACCAAAAATCTTTGTTGAAAAAAAACCCAGCAAATGCCAGCGCGAAACTAATCTCGTAGACACCCGGTATACAAGTTGGGATTGTCATCCAATTTCATCACATTTGGTTGAATTTCGGTCAAGTGACGTCAACTTTCTAATCTTAAATGTACTCATGGTATCGGGTCTTCAAAAAAAAACCAATCAAGGATTGCTATGGTTTTTAAACGTATGTCTTAACAATATTTTCCTTTAATTTTGTCAATGAACTTTAATGTCAAAATGTCATGTCAAAAATCTTGACCAATAAAGAAACAATAATGCGACGTACGTTTTCGTAGTCAAAGCAATCTTTGATTGTTTTTTTTTTGCAGACCCGATATATTATGCATTTTTCATTTTTCGTTGGAAAATTAAATTACAGAATCGATAATGCCATATTTGTTAAGGCTTTGTTAAAGAAAATGATAAAAAATTATACAGTGGAACATACGATACTGTCATAAATGGGTGTAAAACATAATTTTTCTCGATTTTAACTTCTTATCAATCAAAACCTATCCAAAGTAATTTTGAATGTTGTAAAGTTTAAATCTAACAATAAAAAACCTAAATTATAGCTCAAGAGAAATTGTCCTAGATTGGTGTAGAGTTGCATTTCAACATTTTTTTGAGGAATTCATAAAGATTCAGCTGTAGAAATTCATCCAGTCCTAAAATATTCAAAAAAAACAATATCCGTGCAGTTCATTCAAACGCTGATAATCAAACAGCACTCAATTTAATTTTTAGTTTTACTTTACAATAAGAAAATTAGTTATTCCCTACCAATAGAGGAGATAACACAAATGCAAATGAAATCTGAAAGATTTTGTTTTATACTGTTGAAAAAGTTTAATTTGGCCAGGTTTCAGCATAGACTTGCCAAGAAAAATAAAATGTTCTAAATCTTCAAACCATTATTTATTCATCAACTTGTTACATACTTAATTTAAGTAGCAACTTTTCTGATCCACTTTTTCAAAGCATCCAAATCCACAGAATTATTTTTATTGAAGGCAAACGATTCTGCAAACTCAACTTTACAATTAAGTGATGCGAAGGTGAATTCTTTTGATGAATCCCCAGATCTATTTTTACTGGTTTCTTTGCTGTCCAACTGTTTCAATTGATTTAGTTCCGAGTTGCGGAGAGTGTTGCTAAAATATAAGAAAAATATATCTATATGTAGGAGAATAAAGAAAGTGAAAGTACCGAGGAAAGTACCTATGAGGGTTCCAGAGATATTTGAACAATTAAAATTTTATACATTATTTTGAAACATGTAAAGGAACCCCTATAAGATCATGCTCACATCAAACACAGTTTATCTCAAAATTAACTGGGGTGAAATTGGAACCACTCTTAGATTCACTCGATTAACCTACTCTACCTATTTCAAACTAGAAAAAGTTCAATAAGAAAAAAAAATACTTACAGTTCTTTCTCTAGCATTGTCTTTATAACACTGGCACCTTTAGCTAAAGTTTGGTCTTGTTTGTTGCACAAAATTAGGATATTTGGCCTCTTTTTAAGTACAACAGGGTCACTTAAAATATTATTCAAGACATTGGCAGCATCTCTTATGTTTTTAGCCAAACTGGTAGAGTCAACAACGTAAACAATCCCTTTGGAATTTTCCTTGTATTTTTCAAAAAATTGTTGTCTTATACTGTGAAACCCTGGGAGATCAACTACAGTAATTTTTTTCTAAAATGAAATTAAGTAGTTGAACATTTAGATCCAGTAAACACAATTTGGGTGGTAAGCAGAGCTGGGAGTAACGACAAAAAATAGTTACTATAAAAGTAGCTCGTTCTCTCAATTTGTTGTTACAAATAATTGACGATTGAGGAAAAGGAAAATAAGTAATCCAAAAGCTTTGTATGTCAAATAAAATATGGGTAGTACAGAAAATTTGTTTTGAAAGCTCAAAATAATTGTTTTTGGGCGTGGCACGCGCCTCTGCTATAAAGACACTATATGCAGACACCGGAACGCTTAAAAAAGCAGGTTTGTCCAAAACCAAGTTCTCAATTTAGTCGCTTAATCCTTAATCCGTTTGAATTTTTGCAACAAAACTCTTCCACATAGTCGGACTCACAAACTAAAAACCTATTGGCATTTCGTATAGGTCTTATTTGATTGTTTGGACTGCTGTGTTGGTGAGTCAAATTAAGGAATAATGCAATTTTCGACCTTAATAGTTATTTTTATTATTTAAAAGTAGCACTTTATTTCAAACTAACGCGTTGAGGTAACGGGTTACTTTTAAATAACGAGTTACTTTTAAGTAACGAACTACTTCTAAAGTAAAGAAGTTACTTTCAAAGTTGAGAAGTTACACTAACGCATTACTTTCCAATAAGTAACAAAAATAAAGTTATCATTATTCGAGAGTAACTGTAAATTTTAAGTAACGAGTTATTTTTAAGCAAAAGTAAGTAACTGTAAAGTAACGCGTTACTTTTTTTGGTAAGTATAGCAAAATATGAGACAAACTATGTTACACACAAAATAGTATATTAAAGTATAAGTGGCAATTCCACTCATGTATAAATAATCCCATTTGAAATATCAAAAACCGTAGTTTGCTAGCGGATAAATAGGAAGGAAGAGAAAATATAACTGGATAAAAAAATCGGATAAATTTTCTGTTGATGCAATCGTTACTGTAGTAAATTGCATATTAAATTGGTTTTTGAATCATCTGTCAAATAATTGTGTCACAAATTCGATCATTTTAGCTTATTAAAAGTGTATTTTTAAATAAAATTGGAAATATTTTCAACATGCACCGATTTGGGACAATTAATGATGAAATAATTGATAGCGAAATAGAAAATTCAATTCCTGAGAACACAAAGAGAGTCTTTTTCTCTTTCTGTAGAGTCAAATTCTAAGGGGCAAAAATGTATTCTAATTGTACCTTCAATAACTGTTCATTTTAAAAAGTATTTCCATATTTTATTTTGATTATGCATTCGTGGAATTGCCGTACTAAATACCATTGGAGCTCAGATTTTGAGCAGGATATTTTTTTGCTTGCCCTCTCATACTTACTTTCAGGCAATTTATCTCGATCTGTTCCACAAAATCACTCGAGCTGCGCTCTCGTGATTTTGCAGCTCTCGTTAAATTTCCTGAAAGTAAGTATTCGAGACCAAGTTTAGTTTAGTTTAGTTTAGTTTATTCATTTTATGTTCTTCACAATATTTTGTATACCATTTTTGGTGTAGAACTCGTCAATATAATATAATACAATACAATATAATAAAATATAATTAATTAATTTTATAGTATAAATATAAATTAACATTGATATAAGATGTTTAAATAGTTACTCTCCAGTAGAAGTCATCGTTGAGTACATTTTCCATTAAAATTAAAATTAAAATATTGCACGTCAGACATTTAAAAACCGACTTTCACAATAATACTCATACCACAATTATAATTAAAATAATTTTTATAGGCACAGTCACAAAATCAGTCTATCTATCACAGTTTAAATCGTTTATTTTATTTGACTAAGATCTTCCTCAAAATATTCTTTAAGACTGTAGTAAGCTTTGTTTTCTAGAAATTTTTTAATTTTAGGCCCTATTTCATTTGGAGGAAGCTGCCGTATTTTATTTGGTAAAAAGTTCCATATTCTCAGAGTCATGTGTGTTGTGTTTTTTTGTACATAGCTAAAATTAGCTTTTTCAGTTTTTAAGTAGTTTTTTTGTCTGGTTTCATAAGAATGAATATTTTTGTGTTTTTCAAATATATCAGCGTTCTTTGAGACAAAGTTTATACTCTCTAAAATGAACAGATTGTATACTGTATGTATTTTTAAGTTTATGAAATGTTGTTTACAGCTGTCATTGTTTTTTAATTTTTTTATAATTCTTATGCATTTTTTCTGTATTTTTAGGATGGTTGGAGTTTCTACTGAGTTTCCCCAGAATATAATACCGTATCTAATTTTTGATTGAATGTAGGCATGGAAGGCCGAGACTGAAGCTTCTAAATCTACCTCATCTCTCAGCCTCCTTAAAGCATACGAATATCTTCTCAAAGACTTCGCCACCTCCTGAACGTGATATCTCCAGTCTAGATTGCTGTCCAGCGTTACTCCCAGGAATCTCACATTTTTCACTGACTCCATTATCTCCCCACCACATTGTATACGTAGCAACTCTCTGTTTTTTGGTTTGAAATTTATAATTTGTGTTTTTTGGATGTTCATTTTTAGGTTGTTTGATCCAAACCAAGTTTCCAGATTTTCTAATGTTCCTTTGATTTCTGTTACTATCTGTGTTTCATTTTTTTTACTTATTATTACATTTTTGTCATCTGCAAATGCATAGACTTCGTTGTTAATTATGTTTTCTACCTCATTTGTATATACAATGTAAAGGAGTGGAGCCAGTATCGACCCCTGCGGAATCCCTCTTTTAATGTAATCAAAATTTGATTTTAATTTTTCGCCCCCTTCTAGTGTTTCTTCAATGCTTTGAGGTCTTTTAGTTAGGTACGATCTCATCAATCTCCAAGCAATTCCCCTTATCCCACACAATTCCAACTTTTTTAAGAGTGTTTCATGATCCACACAGTCAAATGCTGCAGAAAGGTCAATACATACTGCTGTTGTTTGATTTTTTTTGTTTAGTGACTCTATGATTTTATCTAGTGCTTGATATATGGCCCTGATAGTTGATTTTCCCCTTCTGAAGCCATTCTGTCTGTTGGATAATATATTTTGATTTTCTATGAAGCCTACTAGCCTGCTGTGTATGACTTTTTCATAAATTTTGCTAATATTTGATAATAGGGATATTGGTCTATAGTTTTTAATTTCATTCCTTTCACCCTTTTTAAAGATTGGTTTTACTATTGTGATTTTTAGTAGCGATGGAAATATACCTTGTTGTAGTGATAAGTTAATTGTGTGGGAAAGTGGCTGTGCCAGTAGATCCGCCGTTTCTTTTAGGTAGCATATGGGTATCTCGTCAAAACCGCTTGACTTTTTATTTTTAAGATTTTTTATTATTTGTGTGATCTCCTGTGGAGCTACTTCCCCAAGCACTATACTTTCTTTGCAACAAATTGTTTTTTGACAAGCGAGTTCTTTGTTGTCATTTATGTCTGTGCATTTTGTAAGGAAAAAATCGTTGATTTTGTTCAATAGCTGTTTTTTATCGTTGTAATCTAAGTCATCAAACAGGGATCTTTTTTTATTAATTTTTTTAGTTATTCTGTTTATGACAGTCCAAGTTGCTTTTGTTTTATTATCTGCCCTTTGTATAAATTTTTTATTGTTTAAAGTTTTTGCCATTCCTGTTATTTTCTTCAAGATATTTGAATATTTTTTGTAATACTGTTTGCTTTTTTTTCCTTTCAAATAGAGTTCATATATTTTTCTTTTATTTTTTGATGAAATTCTTATACCTTTTGTTATCCAATTATCCTTGTTTGTTGGCCTTATCTTTCTTGCTTTCACCGGAAACATCACATTCAGGACCTGGACAAGTCTGCTGTGTAGTAGGGCGTATGCCTTTTCTGCGTTATTTTCCTCCATTACATCCTGCCATGAAATATCTCCTATTGCTATCCTAAGCTGTTTTAATTTTCCCTTTGTGAAACTTCTTCCTGTAAAGGTTTTTTGAGAATCATTTGATTTTATCTGTGATTTAATTAAAGATATTTTTTGTCCATGGTGATCACTTAGTGCTGTGATCACCACTTGGTTATTGGTAAAGTTCTCAGTGTTCACAAAAAAGTTGTCGATGCATGATAATTCAACTTTATTGGGCCTAGTTATTTCAAATATTGTCTGTTTAAAATTGTAACTATTAAAAATGTTTAAAACTTTGTCTCTTTGTTCCCTTTTTTTTCTACTTAATGCCCCTTCCTCCAAAATAAAATTGACATTAAAATCTCCACCCCATATTACAGTATAATTTTTAAATTTTTGATATATTTGTCTATTCAATATTTCTAGTATATCATGAAAAATGTTAAAAGCACCTAGACACGATCTATATAGACAAAGTACCAGCAGTTTCTGTGATTTGTTTATTACTGCACACATCTCAAAGTTTCCGTCTATGTTCCAGTCGTCATAGATTTTCAATTCTTCAAATTCTGATTTTTCTTCGGTAAAGATACATACCCCTCCTCTGTTCATATGCTCACGAGAATAACAAGTTGTCAGGTTGTATCCCATTAATTTTACAAATTGTTCTTCCCCTGGCTTCATCCAGTGTTCTGATAAACATACTATTTGGTACTTAGTGTCTGATGTCTCCAATAGAATTTCAAGATTCTGCAATGATGTAACTCCTTGTATATTTTGGTGAAATATGTTAATCCCACTTTCATTTTGATTTTTTTGTTGAGGTTTCTGTGGTTGTTTTCTAGATTTTTTATTTGTTATCTCCAGTGCCTTATCTGCCTTGCCTTCCAAAAATTTTTATTTGGAGTCGATGTTGTTATTTGTTTCATTGTTTGTGTTTTGTTTTGAGGGATATTTTTTTCTGTGTATGTTGGTGTTATTGTTATATTTTGTAGTATGTTTATGTCTCTTTTAGTTTGCGGTGCTTTTTTCGTTAGCGCTTGAAGCCTTCTTTCCACTTCTTTGTTAAAATCGTGATGTTTTGTGTTTATATATTTATTGCACACTTTCACCATGAGATTAAATTTCCAATCAAATCTTCCTGTATAATTGCAATCCTGTATGTTATTTGGATCTTCAAAATCTATATTTAAGTTTGAAAGGTAGAGTTTTGTTTGATCGTTTTGGTTTTGTATCATTTTATTTAGAGCAATTTTTTCTTTTCTAGCAAACAATGATCCCACCACTAATACATTTGTGTGCTCGGCTGTCAATATTAATTCTTGGAGTAGCTTTTGAGTCAGAGTTTTCCCTCTAATTATGTCTTTTTGTGTTAAAAATATGATTATATGGTCTTTCAGGGATAAATTTTGTGAAAGTGCTCTACTTTTAGTAATTATCTCTTCATTTGAGATGTGATTATATTGACAGTTTGTGTCATATCTCTCATTTCTCAATCTTCTGAGAATCTGCATACTTCCCTTTATTGTATAGTCACCCAGAATGACGATTTGTGGGACTTTTTCTACCACTCTCTCTGTTGTGTTTATTTCTTTTGTGCTGTACCCAGTTTTTTGGCAGTCCGCTGTTTGTATTTCTTTGTCGATTTGTATTCGTAATAGTTGAGCTGTTAATAGTTCAGTATATAAACTGTCTTCCTCTGGTTTTACTTCACAATCTATTTCATTTGTAGTTTCCTCGATCGGAGCTCTCGTGGTTTGACAGGCGGTTTCCTGCTCTTGCTCTGTTTGTCCTACTTGTGTGTTTATTACTGTTTCAGTTTCGATCGTCGTTTGGCTTGCTGATGTCACCATTTTTGCTGACTCCGTTTGGATATATGAGTCGGTTTTATTTATTGTAGTAGTTTGTGTTGAACAGTTGGCTTTTGGTTTTTGCATCAACACTATTGTTCTCTGTAATTCACTTTTTTGGCTTTCCAACAGGTTCATTTGACTTTTTCTTTCTTCCAGTTGTCTTGTAAAGAATTCTTCCATCTCTATGGCATCCGTATTTATTTGTTCTTTTATTGCTATTGTTCTCTTTATGTAATTATCTTTCTGTTCCAATGCCTGCAGCAGCTCTTCATTTTCTTTCTTTAATAACTGGGCATTTTCCAGAAGGTTTTCATTTATTTTTGCATCTTCCTGGCAGGCTCTTGAGCAGTACATCTTATGGTCATTTAAGTGTATCCAATTTTTGAGTCTTTCTTGGCATGATTTGTGCGCCACTGAGTAGCATGTTACACATATAAGAAAATGGATGTCCTGGCTTCTGTGGCATTTGAATTTCATTTTTACCGTTTTCCTTTGTTTACTTAAAACGTATGGTTATTTGATTTGTTTACCATTAAGTAGTAACGAGATAGACGATCAAGCATCTGGTATGGCGTCAGCAAAATCTGTCGGACATCAGCTGATTTCTGTTTTTCTCTGTTGTAGGCTACTTTTCCTTAGTTAGAAGATTTGGGTTATGTTTCACTTTCCTAATTTTGCATCGTAATATTGCCGTTTTTTTTGCCCGTAGAGTTAATTTTTCGCGATTTTTCTGTATTTGTCCTTTCCTGCAGGTTTAGTTTTTATTGCCCGATGAATTTATTCTTTTTACTTTGTGCATTTGGTTACTTTTTCCCGTTTTTTCCGAGGAGAATCTACGACTCAGATTATAAGCGCGACGTTGCCCAAAAAAAAATCCAAGCCAAAAAATATCCGGCTAAATCTGAGCTCTTATGGTATTACCTACGAATATTAAGGTCTTTAAAACACACGCGATTTTTCGAGCACGACGGCGCAGCCGAGTGCTCGAAATAGAGCAAGTGTTTTAAAGACCAGTTATCCACGAATACTTTACACTATTTTTTTTTTATTGGTATACGTTCGAATCATAAATTACTAATAATTGTAGAATGCAAATTTGTGCTTGACACTTGTTACATTTTATTTGACGTTATCTACAAGTACCTAACCTACAGCTGACAAATCAATAATTAAAAATTTGACATTTAAATCTTTCTCGGGTTGTTGGTTGTTGATGTTGTCATTGGTAACTTTAAAACACGCGCGTTTTTGAATGTTGGATTTAAACACGCTGAGGAGTACTTTAAATAAGTGAAATAGGTTATCAATAAAAAAAAAAAATAATATTGCTCTTGTTGCTGGTTCCATAATCAATATTTTAGCTCACCCCATCAATATTACATTCTTCCACATTATCCTGGCTGGAGGTGTAAGTTAGTACATGCTGATTATGAAGCAATTGAGAATGAATCAAAGTTTTACCAGTATCATTGAGACCAGTGAGCAAAACGTATCCTTTGCTGCTTTTGAGTAATCGACGTAAAATAAACAGAACTAAAAAATAGAGATTTTAGAAAATTTTCATTGAGGTACCTTCTTTAACTGGGTGAATAAATGGTAGATGGTAGGTAGATTACCTATTGTTGTGAATATCAGAAGAACTGCAATCAATATTGGGCTAAAGCTGTCTTCCACATTTGAATTCATTTTTTTGATAATTGAAATTGGCAAATTACTAATTCCCGTTTATTTTAATTGAATTTTTAACTATTTTAACTTTTCCAAATTTGCAAACAGCTGTGGGTTGACCGGTTGACTTGTGTTGTTTTTCGAGTTGTACGTTGTACGAATAGTGACGTCTGTCAATTTCAACCAAAGGTGGGTTCGGCTTGCTCACTCCGTGCACTCCGAGTGACTCCATTCGCACTCCAGCTGTTCGGGTTAAAGTTTGGGTATTGCTTTTCACCGTATTAGGGGTGACTCCATTAGCACTCTTCACTTCACTCCAACTCCGCGCTGAATAGCCGAACCCAGCTCAACTTGACTGGGCCTATCTTCCGATATCAACTATCAGTACTGAATTTACTGGACGTCCGTCTTTCCGATATTATTTTCAGCACATTGGATTCAGTCTGCTCAGTACTGAATGACCACAAGAGTACGCTGAAATCTGAACGGCGAATGACAGTAAAATCAGCACAGTGAATCCAGGGGCGAGTTCAGGAATGACACACTCATAGCGTTTTCTGTTGGTAAAACTCGTGCTGTCCGAGTTCTGCACTCAACACTGAATCAGTTCGCGTTTAGTGCAATCCCAAAAGAACATGAATTTGGCGCGTTTTGTAATTCTTTTCAAATTTATTATTTAACGATCCCTGATCCCTAACCTAACCTAAAGTCATTTTCAATGCAATAAAAATTAAAAACGTTTGCGTGTATGAAAAAGTTGAAAACGGAAGTTTTTCCTGTATGTAAAGTACATAATTATGCTGTCTCCCGAGGTGCAGAAATAATTCCAATGATACCTGCGTTGAAATTAATTTTTATGTCAATTTCAGGCTCTCTGACCTCGTGCTGGAAAAGTTGCACGAGGGCAATAATTGATTGCCCTGGTTTTCCAATAGAACATAAAAACCCGCTCGGAAACTGCCAACAGAACATAATTTTTGCATGAGTGCAGCACGAGTTTTACCAACAGAAAACGCTATCAGTGTGAGTGTGACACCGGTGCGACGCACTAGCCGTTCATAAATGTTATAGGCACACCGAGTGCGCGCACACTGTACCGTTCAGAAAGTACTTCGGGCGCGTTCCAGGTGTCGCACCATAATTTTTTGGTGTGGCTGCGGTGTGATTGTGTCTTTATGTCAACAATGTCAACCATTCCTCCCATAATCTCAATAATCCCATCAAATTTAAACAAAACACAAATAAGAATTAACACATTGACTGCCACGTCATACATTTACGAATGACACGGCCACTTCCGTTCCGGCTGCGTCATTCATATTTGTATGACGGTTCAGTTTCACTTCTAGGCCATGTCATGCATTTAGGTATGACAGCCTGTGTATTTTAAGTGGAGATATATTTGCGTGGCCCCTGGGGATTCTCAAGGTAAACTTGGCCAGAGCAAATTTTGTTGGGTTATTGTCCAAGACCAATGAAACCAAAAATTTACTTAAAATAGGTATAATTTTAAGTAAAAAACTGTCAAACACAAAAAAAAAAAACTAATTCTTCCTGATATATGATGTATTATGTGTATATGATGAAATATGAACTTATAATTTACAAAAGGAACAGGCCAAATCATGAATTATTCGCTGGGGGCTAAAAGTTGTATTTCCGTATTTTTTGGCTTTTCTTTTATTTTACAATGACAATTTACTTATAATTTTGTTTGGTTTTAATTTTTTTGGCTTTTTTGCATTTTTTGTTGTCTCATTCGCATATGAATGACGTGGCCGGTGCGATAAAATTTCGTCAAAGTTTTCCAGGGGGGCACGTCATTCATTTATGAATGACACAACAAAAAATGCAAAAAAGCCAAAAAAATAAAAACCAAACAGAATTATAAGTAAATTTTCACTGTAAAATAAAAGAAAGCCAAAAAATACGAAAATACAACTTTGGCCCCCAGCGAATAATTCAGGATTTGGCCTGGCAGTCAATGTGTTAAAGGTTTTTTTTTCAAATTAAAAAAAATGAACAACAAAAAAAAAGTAATCTTAATAGATTTGGTGAAATTTTTCTAAAGGCTGGGTTCCGATTCCAACCTTGGTCACGGTTAAAGGTGGGTTCGGCTTGCTCACTCCGAGTGACTCTATTCGCACTCCAGCCGTTCGGGTTAAGCTTCGGGTATTGCTTTTTACCGTATTAGGGGTGGCTCCATTAGCTTTGTTCACTCCACTCCAACTCCGCGCTGAATAGCCGAACCCAGCTTAGGTTACACGTTCCAATGCACGTTCCGTAGGAGGGCCGGATTTATAATCGCTTCTTGAGGTTTCCTCTGACCTTAAGAAGGCCTTGAACGTTTAGAATTGAGATAACTTTACTTGTCAAATAGTAGCAAGTGTCCATTCTAAACTCACGACCTTCAATGAAGACCCAAGGAACGATTATAAATTCGGCCCGTAGAGACCGTAGGTGCCTGAAAAACCGGTCTATACAGAACGCGATTCATGAAAATTATATGTCAAACATGTCACCGAGGCAACCGGCGGCGATACTGCGATTGGAAAAGCGTTCCGTATAAAGCCTGCTAGTACTCCTAACTACGAAATTCGCATTTTTTTGACATTGCGTTGACAATTTGACGTACTAGGCTTAAAACCGAAATTTTCGGCAACTACTGTCAACCGACTTTGCACCGACCGTATAACCAGGTTTATGGCCATTTGCACCGACCGTTTTAAGGGAGGTTTAACGATAATCAACGTTTAAAGTGACATTTTTGCATGTAAAAATGTCACTTAAAACGTTGATTATCGTTAAACTTCCCTTAAAATTGTCGGTGCAAATGGCCATTAGCAACGGAACCCACCCCAACTTCTAGCCTTTCCTTCGATATTTTGCTCAACATTCAGAGCGTGCTGAGCGGAGCCGTAATCACGTGACCACTGTGACCAGCGAGCGAATAGAGCAGTTGAACGCTGTATCAGAGTGCCGGAAATTTTAATAAAAGAACGCGAATGAACCTGCACCGAATACACTTTTTGAATAAACGAACGGTAAACTCAAGCTCAGAGAACTCAGATCAAGATACCGAACGCGCGGCTATGTTGGGACATAGTTCCTAAAGTTCATGCATTTACTGTATTCCTTTTATGGCCAAATTATGGACTGACTGGTAAACGTCTGGTTGTTACCTAGCAGGTACTTTCTATGCACTAGAGAATAGAAAGTACCTGCTAGGTAACAACCAGACACTTACCAGTTGGTCCATAATTTGGCCCTTACCCGTTCAGTGACTCATAGCTGCTCAATGTCAAAAGGTGGAACGTTCCTTTTAAAAGTGCGTTAGAGCCGTTTTACACGGCAAAGTTTCTTTACGAAATTACTTATGAAATTGTTGCCGAAATATTTCGTAAGTCAACTTTTCCTGTGTTACACGACAAGAAAAACTTACGAAATATTTCGCCAATAAACTTTCGAAAATGTTCTATAGTTTTTGTGGGCGCGGCCGTGAAAATGCGCAAGTTTCGGCGCGCACAAATAGAAAATAAAAGGCGTATTCTTTTCCTTCGAGCCTCAGGAATCCGTCATTGGATTTCTTATGTAATAGAGAAAGATAGACTGCTCATTGATGGGTCAATGGGTGAAAAAAAGTGTCGCGCCCAAAAAAATAGGGTTGGTGGGAGAGGACCAGGGGTGCGATTTTCGAAACCATTCGAGTACATTTCGTACACGAAATTTGACTGACAGCAATGTAAATTAAATGGAGAGCAGTCAAATTTCGTGTACGAAATGTACTCGAATGGTTTCGAAAATCGCACCCCAGCTGCGCAAAGCCAAAAGTAAACAAAACTTAATTTATATGGAAGGAAAGCAGAAATTACACTTTATGAAACTGCAGAAGAGTACTAAGATTCAACAACAATTTATGAGGATAGGCTATCCGTGTGTATCATATTTGTTCCACACAAGCTTTGAGGATAGGCTATCCTGAATTAGTATTAGTGTGTATTATCCTTGACGAAGAAAGCACATGACACGTGACACGCATTATAACCTGAAAAAAATTCCATAAATTTTTTTTAAAAAGGCAATGTTTTTGTTTTTCTTTGAGCTTGAGCCATGAGTGTATTTCACGACGAAATCGAAATAGAAGACTTTGAATTCGACGAGGAAGACGAAATTTACTATTACCCGTGCCCGTGTGGAGATAGATTTCAAATTTCGAAGGTGAGCACGTTTTGTTTATATGACTGTACGAAAATTGGAAAAACGGATAATTTTCGATTTTCAGGAGGAGCTGCTTGAAGGAGAGGAGGTAGCAACGTGCCCCAGCTGCTCTCTGATTATAAAAGTAATTTACGACAAGGTAAAGTTTTACTCTTACTCCAAACATGATTTTACAGAATCAAATCCACTTTCTGGTTCTTTAACAATCATTAGTATAGTCTGTGATACATATTAGATTAATGAATAATTTTTATGTGTTCGGGCTATTTTCTCTCACAAATCCTTTTTATTATTAGGAATCGTTTGTAAAAGAACAAAGCGAAGTCCAAGCATTAACAGAAGACTTAAAGAAGCTCCAAGTAGTAAAATGAGTCAAGGAAGAGGTCGTGGGGCCAGAGGAGGGCGAGGAGGCCTAACTAGAACCTTTAATCGGGAACAATTGACTGCTATGGGGATAATCAATGAAGCAGCACCAACTCTTGTGACACAGCCTCCTCCATTATTTCCTTTATTAGAACATAGGCCTTTGCCTATAAGGGTAAGGAGTTACTTTTGTTTTATGATGGCATCAACAAACTTTTCAAGTCTAAGACAAAAATTATGATTATATTTATTCATTAGGGACACTGTATAGTATATTCCCACAAAACAGTTGTGGGGTCCATTTTTAACCAAAAGAAATGCCTAAAAAAAAAAATATGAAAATACTGATCTTGATACAACACTATAATTTGTTTTCCAAGTATTTTACTCTCACTTTTCCTGGAAGTACAAAGCAAAGCACCTTTACAAGGTTCACAACTGGCAAATAAAAATCTAAAAGTTTACCACATAAATTAGGTACTCACTCCACCAATTCATACTTACCCGTTTCCCATAGAAAATAAAGTAGAACCTCTATAATTTGAACCCTCACAACTCAACATTTTCTGTGAATCAATAAAGTTTACTTTTTTTTCTTATACATTTTCTGTATTTTGACCACTCTACTCTAACTTGAAAGTCTGTATAATTTGAGGCCAATAACACAACAGCCTTTTTAATTGGAATTTTCAGGAACAGAATAAGAGACCTATAGATAGACAAAGAAAATATAGCTGTTTGCTAATAGACAAGATAAGCTCCAACGCAAATCTAATGAAGTGGCAATTGGTGAATTGGTAGATTGGCAGAAAGAAATCTGCTCAGCAGAAGAGCAAAAAAGTATTATTATGTACTTTCTTTTTGTTAGCTAGACATACATGTTACCCAAAACTTCTTTGACTATTAGAAAAAATTCCACAGTTCCTTGAAATTCAAATTATGGAGGTTCATGAGTATTCAGTCAAAAGGAGTCAAGAAAAGTACATTTATCATTATAAAATAGTTTGATTATATGCTAATTAATTTTATTTTTAGAAAACAGCAGAACTGGACTATTTAGTCACCCTCCGTCAAGACTTCGTGGACCACATGCAACTGTCGAGTTCATATATAAGAACGCCTGTAGAGGCCAAGGAGCAGCACAAAAAAGAAATTGATAAAATTCTTGACCAACTCCAAAGTGGAAATGCTAAAGACGAATACGATTGGGGTATGTTTCCAGCCGAATTGAGACCGAAAAGCTTGGCTAAAAAAGTTGTAGTCAAGCGAACTAATGCCGAAGTAAATGTTGAAGATAAACTGAACGCTTTGGAGAAACAAGAAGAATCTAAAAAAATGAAAATAAAAGAGGAAACTGTTGAAGAAGAAGAGGAAGAGGTTGAAGAGCAGCAAGAAGAAGACCATGAAATGGATGATGGAACTGATTATGCCAATAATTATTTCGATAATGGTGAAAATGAAGATGAGGACGAATATATGAGCGAAGGACCTATTTTCTAATGTTTAATTATTTTATTGTATGATATTAAATTAATTGTTTTGTTTTACATTTCTTTATTTACTACAGCTTTATTGTTGAAGCTAGCATTAATTTATCCTTGTTCATTTTCCCATAGTTCGCAAATCGCAATACCTTTCTTAAGGTATGTTTGACGGTAATATGCTTGGGTTTGGAGGCCGTTATATTTTAACGGCCAAGTATAACTACATTTCTAATCCTGATCATGCTATAAAACATTTTTCTACGAGCGTGCGCAAAGTTATTACTTTGCGATAACTTTGCGCACTCATTTGCAAAGTTGAACTTTGCGCACTAATTTTTGTTACGCATAGTTACCGCATTTATACTCGATTTTTCAATGTTTTGTGGGTTTCTTGATATTCAGAAAGAAGGGCCTGATGTTATTTTTGTTCCAATAAAAGCATTCAGGTAATGTTTAGCTTTTTTAATTTAACACGTTCCGTATGAGAAGCGAATGCAGGAAAAATTCAGCAGAAACAGATGTGCATTATATTTATACCTTATACAGGGTGTTTGGTGCATCATTTGCCAAATTTATCTGCCCGAAAGAGGGGGCCATTTGCTACAAGCGTCTGCGGATCACACGGAGGCAACGCCACGAATATGGTTGGAACTGTACGAACGAAAATTTAAAATTTGGCACGAAGCGACAAACGGCGGTTCACTAGCATTTTTGTTTACCTTCTCTTTATTTATTTGACACAAAATTATTATTTATAATTCGATAGTTTGTCTTATTATCAATGACATGATAGGGAGTTTCGAGAAAGTCTCACCTCCCCAAGAATTTAACATTTAATAATAAGGAAGACTTTAATGAGTAGAAAAGAAAATTAGAGCAAGATACCATCAGAGCACAGTTTATAAAATATGGAACTGTTAAGAGGAAAAATGGTACAATAATTATTTATTTTATTTATCGTCGAGATGGAAATTTACATAAACGCATTAAAACATTACGTAGGTATCACCGTATCACGCTCACATAAACAGGCTTTATTGAATATTGACTTATTATTTAATAGCCTCGCTCGCAAGCTCGCTCGGTCATAAAATTATTCGTACAATAAAGCCTTTCTTTATTGTACTTGATATTTAATGCTATTTATATAAATAGCTATTATTCAATAATCTAGATTAAATACTGTCTTTCAAAATCTTACAAAAACAGCTTGGTTGTGATACAGCCTACAAATCAACTGTGAAGGGCGAAGGCGAAGGGCCATGTATACTTATCAATTATTTTTTTGTACCCGGGTCCCGCTTGATACCCCATCCCGAAAAAATTAATTCTCATTAGTCTATCTAAAATTTTTAGTTAAATATCGATATTTCACGAAATGGAAATTGCAAAATAATCCTAGAATATAACAATAATATTCATCAGGATTCAGGACAAGGAGGCGGAGGCGTCAAAAAAAAAGCAGCAAAAACGTTATGGGCGCTGTATTCGTGGCGTTGCCTCCGTGTGATCCGCAGACGCTTGTCCATTTGCTAACTCTTCAGCCATAAAAACTCATCCTTGACCCCTAGGGTTTTTTTCTTGATTTGATTTTTTTAATTTTTTTTTGAATCTCAAAATGTGCCATTTAAACTTAAATTTAAAAAAAAGTTGTTGGTCTAGCCTTTTCATACCAAATATTGAATATTAGCCTGCTGTGTTCCGATAAACAAATTTAGCAAATTAGTGAAGATGTTAAAATGTTTTTATGGTATACCTATTACATACCACTGGAAAGGGGATAAAATGGAGAAATTTTTTTTTAATTTAAGTTTAAATGGCGAATTTTGAGATTTAAAAAAAAAATGAAAAATAGGTACCAAATTGAAAAAAACCCTAGGGGTCAAGGATGAGTTTTTATGTCTGAAGAGTTAGCAAATGGCCCCTTCTTTCGGGCAGTTAAATTTGGCAAACGATGCACCAAACACCCTGTATTTATTATATTTATATGCATTATATTTATATTTATATTTGTATATATAATATATAATATATATTATATATACAGGGTGAGTTACGAAGCGCGCGGTGGTCCATATCTCCTATACTAACAGAGATTGAAGAAAAAAGTAAATACAAAACTTGTAGACAACATGAGTACTATATTCCTAAATTATTTTCCAGTATACAGGGTTAGGGTTGCCACCTCTCCGGGTTTTCACATAATATGGTCTCCGGGCTCCGGATTACTAGGTGTTTTCTCCGGGTGAAACCGCATTTGAAAAAAAAAACGCATTTTCAACAAAAAAAAAATAACGTAAAAATAATTCTTATGTCCAGTAAAAAAAATAAGATTTAGCAACAGCGCAATACTGTTCCTGCTCTCCCTCAAGGATATTACACACTACTATACGTGATTAGTCGGTATCTTCTGGCCATTTAACTCTTCCACCCTCAGATTCAACTATCGGCCTAGCCGGGGTAGTTGAACGTCCGTGTCCTCTTCTAGGGGTTGGTACTTTCTTCTCAAGTTTTGGAACAATTTTCTTGTATGCCAAAATTAAACAGCCAAGAATTAATAGGATGTATATTAGGTACTAAGAACCATATACTGGGATTTGTTTCAATTTGGCCAAATAGTAAATCCGGTTGAACTTCTACAATCTCGTTCTGAAGTTTGTGTACCGATTAGAAATTATGCCTCTCAAGATAGCCTCCAAAACTTCCGGAAACTGCCGAACGGCCGGTGGCGTCGGAAATATAAGAAAATATCGTATCCTAAAATCTGCTCGTACTGACAGATTCATATTTTCAGTAAAAATTGTTACAAGTATTTGCTATTTTTTCACCCTAACACCAGATCCCGATAGGCCGTCAGAGGGTGTCAAAATAGGGTTGATGATTTCAAAAAAATTATATCCCAAAATATGCTCGTGCTCACAGCTTCATATTTTCAGGACAAATTATTTATTTATTTATTTATTCAAAGATATCAACAGCTTAAGCCAATTACAGATATCCACTTATCCAATAATAATAGTTAAGTAATAGTATGTGTCATGCTATAATATTAAAATGTTAAATATACCTAATCCTAACAATAAACATACAAATAATACAATTAAAACACCTAAATACTATTCTTCTTTTAGTTTGGACAGAATAAGTTGTTTAAACTGATTGTAACAAATGACATCAATGTCAATGTCACAAGCGTACAAGTTGAAAACATTGCACATTCTGTATATAGGGGAATTTTTATAAAGATTAACTCTCGGATACGCCAGGTAAAATACTTTCGAATTACGCGAGTTAATACGATGAATAGCAAAAGGCAACTGGCTCAGAATATCAGGACTATCTATATTTCCTTTCAATAACTTAAACATCATGCAAAGCACTATTTTAATTCGTCTATGTTCCAAACTTAATCTATTAAATTCTCTCAAGAGTTGAGAGTTGTCATATCCAATCGGTGGATAGAGGATAGACACCGTACTTTCTGAAATACATACTTTTTAAAAACTTTCTCTGCACACTCTCAAGCACTGTTAACCATAAATTATATTGTGGGGACCATATTATGCTTCCATACTCCAATATGGGCGCCACAAGGCTGTCAAAGAGGTGTAAGCTCACATCCACTGAAAAGTCTTTAGAGTTCCGAGCAATGAAACCAGCCATCTTTTGGGCACTTTCAACTTTACTGACAATATGTTTAGAGAAAGATAGAGCCGAATCAAAAAGTATACCCAAGTCCTTCTGAATGTTGACTCTATTAAGCGCAACGTCATTCAGTGTATACTCAAACTGTACAGCATTGTTATTAAGGGTAAAGGACATACATGAACATTTACTGACATTCAACTTAAATTGGTTGTCAATGCACCAGTTGGCGACATTACAGAAATCATTCTGAAGCATTTCGCAGTCTGCAATTGAACTAACCCGGAAAAAACACTTAAAATCATCCGCAAAGAGTAGACCCTTGGCATTTTCCAATTTATTTATAATACTGTTGATGGCTATTAGAAAAAGAAGAGGACCCAGATTGGAGCCCTGTGGTACCCCTGAAGTGCTTTTATACACAGCTGATTTGCAGCCCTTCACTTCCACAAGTTCCACATACTGATGTCTTTGATTCAAATATGATTGGATTAGGTTTACCAGATATGCAGGCACGTCCAAGTCATTTAAGGCCCTTAGTATTATGCAATGTCTTACTCTATCAAATGCCTTTTCCATGTCCATAAAAATCACATCCACTTGCGACTTGCTGTTGAGTGCCTCATGAACATATTGACAGAATGTGATAAGATTAGTCATAGTTGATTTTTCAGGAAGGAAGCCATGCTGGCATGATGTAATCCTGTTAGATTATGACAATCATTTGCTATTTTTCTACCTTAACACCAGATCCCGAGGGGCCGTCAGGAGGTGTCAAAATGGGGGAGAAGATATAAAAAAAAAATATCTCGAAATCTGCTCGTGCTGACTGATTCATATTTTCAGGACAAATTATGACAAGCATTTACTATTTTTTTGCCTCAACACCAGATCCCGATAGGCCGTCGGAGGGAATCAAAATAGGGGTGAAGATATCAAAAAAATCGTATCTCAAAATCTGCTCGTGCTGACAGATTCATATTTTCAGGACAAATTATGACAAGAATTTGCTATTTTTTCATCCTAACACCAGATCCCGATAGGCCGTCAGAGGGTGTCAAAATAGGGGTGAAGATATCAAAAAAATCGTATCTCAAAATCTGCTCGTGCTGACAGATTCATATTTTCAAGACAAATTATGAGAAGCAGAAGCATTTGCTATTTTTTTCCTCAACACCAGATCCCGATAGGCCGTCAAAGGGTGTCAAAATAGAGGTGAAGATATCAAAAAAATCGTATCTCAAAATCTGCTCGTGCTGACAGATTCATATTTCCAGGACAAAGGACAAATTATGACAAGCATTTGCTATTTTTTTGCCTCAACACTAGATCCCGATAGGCCGTCGGAGGATGTCAAAATAGGGGTTAAGATATCAAAAAAATCGTACCTCAAAATCTGCTCGTGCTGACAGATTCATATTTCCAAGACAAATTATGAGAAGCATTTGCTATTTTTTTGCCTCAACACCAGATCCCGATAGGCCGTCAAAGCGTGTCAAAATAGAGGTGAAGATATCAAAAAAATCGTATCTCAAAATCTCCTCGTGCTGACAGATTCATATTTTCAGGAAAAATTATGACAAGCATTCGCTATTTTTCCATCCTAACACCAGATGCCGTCAAAGGGTGTCAAAATAGGGGTGAAGATATCAAAAAAATCGTATCTCACAAAATCTGTTCGTGCTGACAGATTCATATTTTCAAGACAAATTATGACAAGCATTTGCTATGTTTTTACTCCTTACATCAGATCCCGATAGGCCGTCAGAGGGTGTCAACATAGGGTTGATG